CAGCAGACCCAATTTGCAGATGGAATTCGAAAAAACCGTCGGCGGAAACGAATGGCAGAAGTTCGTCCTGAGGGAGACGTACAGACGGCTGCTGCTGACGACGGCGAAGAAGAGATACGCGTACCTGCAAGAGGACCGTACAGTCGGCACGGTCGGCATGCTGAACGTGAGGGAAGCGGAACCGCTAGTTTCCAAACTGGACCGGAAGCTGGTGGAGATCGCTCTGACGCACGACGAACCAGCGTCGGCTTTGGAGGCCTGCGCCGGTGCCTTCGTCGAACTCGCGGACGGTCTGAAGAGGACGAAGACGATCTCGTTATCGAGCGTTCGCCGACTGTCGAAGAAGGAAACGAACGCTCCCAAGTTCAGGAGAGCGTGCGCCGCGCTCGGTCTTTTCCGGCCGGCGCCGTACTACGTCAGACACGAGGGAGCTTCGCAGCACCCTTTGTTAGCGGCGTGTCGCAACGACTTCGTCGACGCAACAGGTCTGCTGGATGCCCTCCGAAAGAGGTGCCCGTCGAAACCGGATAACAACACCGTCCTCGGCGTTCTCGCCTCCGCCTGCGGGCTTGGCGCCTCCGATCGATTGCGGGAGGTTCGACTCGCCGTCGAAGGAGTGCCGTTCAGACTGGCGGTTGCAGCATCGGATGCATCTGAGGTTGTGATACCGAACACCAGACTGGTGGTTGCAGCGTCGGAGAAAGAAAAACAGGATTGCTGTTCCACAGTTGTGACGACGTCCATCGAAGAGGAACGAGCGACGAGAAGGGACGAGTTGGTCTTCCACAGCAAGGATCTGGGAGGTGGGCGAACAAAGTTGTTCGTTCTTCGCTGCGGCGATCCCCTGTGCGCACGGGCTCGCGACTTTTGCGTCGGCGCCCGTGAAAATTTGAACAAATGTTGGAAGAACATAAATATAAAAACCTGAATTTTTGCAAGGGGATGGCAGTAACGAGACAAATTTCAACGATTAAGATATATTGTTCAGTCGAATGCATCCAGTGCAGAAGTCGATAAAAAAAAAAGTTGCAAAGCAAAAGAGCCCATAGAATGAGCAAGTGGGACGAGATTTCCGAAGGTTTCTTCGTGATGCGTGGTTTTCTGGCAAAGGGATTGCATCGGTTCACGATAGGCAACGTCGGAGAGCACGTTCGTTTTTACTGTGTCATCGTGGACAAAGGAAATATATTTCACCAAAGTCCGATATTCGAACAACAGAAGAACATCTTCCATTCGGACGGAACTGAGTCTGTCCTTATTCGCATAGATTCCTCGTCGATTTCTAGCAAGAGTTGTACCTTCGAATATTACAACGACGGATGTGAGGGAAACAAACGCATTGCAGTTGCAACCAAAGATTCGAAATGTTTTTTCACATATACCTACGAATGGTACGACGAAATTCCTTCCCTGAAGTTGCTGTGCAAGCGAACGATCGTCTCAAACGACATGCATCGCGAAGTTTTACCCAGGTTACTTAGAACGTACGTACAACAGGAGGATAGACCGAAAGTCTTTGTGTGGATAAACAAATACATATATTATGTCATTCCGTCTTAGGTTTCGACATTAAGTACAATGTACGTTATTCGGTTCACAGGAACTTTCATTATTATTGATTATGTTGGTTGAGCGTTAATTAGACGAAATAAAAGAAAAGAAAAACAAACAAATTATGTGTCAATCTTCGTTTATTTCAATTTTAAAATAAAAAATGCATTTGCGCCTGTTCGCATGTTGCAATGATATTAAGTTATTTTTTAAAAACTTTATTTGAACACAAACACATTTCTCAGAAACCGCAGCTAATATATGAAACGAGTGTAAGGAGATGGTCCGTATAGAGGTGGAAGCGGTGGCATATATTATAGAAGATTTTCAACGATTAAGATATAGTGTTCAGTCGAATGCATCCGGTGCAGACGTCGATGAAAAGAAAAATTGCAAAAAAAAGTAGCCCATAGGATGCACGAGTGGGACGAGATTTCCGAAGGTTACTTCCTGATGCGTGGTTTTCTGGCGAAGGGATTTCATCGATTCACGATAGGAAACAGCCAGGACGTTCGATTTTACGGTGTCATCGAGTGCGAAGGAATAATAAAGGACGAAGGAATAATAATCAAAAATCCAACGTTCGGTCGATTAAAGAATCGTACCTTCGAATATTACAACGACGGAAGTGAGGGAAACAAAAGCATTGCGGTTGCAACCGAAGGTTCGATGTGTTATTTCACATATTCCTACGAATGGTACGATGATATGCCTTCCCTGAAGTTGCTGTGCAAGCGAACGATCGTTTCGAACGACGTGCGTCACGAGGCATTGCCCAGGTTACTTAGAACGTACGTTCAGCAGGTGGATAATCCGACCGTCGTACTGCTGATGAACAAATGCTCATATTCTAGTATACTTCCCTGCGTCGAAGGTTTCGACATTAAGTACGATGTACGTTATTCGGTTT